ATTCCCAAAATGGACCGCTCCCAATACTGCCTCCACCCACCCCACAACAGGTGCTTGAACCAACAAAGGAGGCAGACACCAAGCAAACTGAAGCTGGCTGAAGTCTGCTGATACTTCACACATGTGTAAGATGACACCCTTGTAAACCTCTCCATACAATAGTGGGGGATCGTACAGCAACATTTACCATAGATGGACTTGAAAAGCCTACTATATAAAGTCCAGTCCTCGGGATGCAATCTAGTGGAGGTCAGGCACATCACAGTTTGGGTATTTACCATGAGAAAAGTTTACCTGGCTGTGTCTACCTTCTTTCAAGCTGTCACATTAACTTGTTTGCTGCATTTATGTTTTCTAATATAAAATTAGGGGGGGTAACTTTACTCAAATCTCAGGAATGACATTACTCACAAGGAACCCCAATCCATTAATATATTAATTAGAAGTTATACTGTTACCCAAAACCAGTTTTTTTTACTCTGATAATCTGGTGTGAACCAGGCATCCCCAACAAGAACCTCCTCAGTCAGGCTATTGTCATTTACTACCAGCAGAGCCAAATAGCCAAGGCAATCCAGCTGATGTAATACCTTTAGTTCCCTCATGAAGACTTAAATCTAATCAAATTATACATCATGCCATCCAAATTTGCAATTCAAACCACTCACACAAGCACTGCAGACGATGTCACAAAAATATGGATGTGTGACCAAACCACACAAGCATTATTTCCATGATAATTGTTAACAGAATATGCCAATCTTTCACACACCACATTTAAGAACCTCCTGCATACTTTCTTCAGATCAATGAATGGATCAAGTACCATTATCTAGTCAGAAGTTCTGTCATTAACTTGCCGACTTTAACGGCAACAAAATTAGTCCACTACATCACCGGTAATTTTCCTAGTCCATCCCTCCTTAGGAATATAATTTATTGCTAATATTTTAGGATAATGAACAGCATACTGTACATCCTCGACTCACAAACCACGCGACCCGGGCTCAATCTCAGAAGACAAATGGTTGGCCACATTTCCTTTCACCTGATGCCTTTGTTTACCTAGCAGTAAATAGGTACCCTAGAGTTAGGCAACTCTTGTTATGGGTTGCATCTTGAGGAAGGTCAGCAATTGATCTAGGGAGGAATCACAATAAGCCTAACTACGGGCTTCCTGTCCCCAACAAAGGGAACTGGTCACTCGTGCCTTGCTTGCATTACATGCTTAGATAAATTCAGTGAAATGGCAAACATCACACCAATGGGCAGACAAACCTACATAAAAGCAAGCTTGATTGTGTATTTTAATATAATTTGTATGGTTCACATGTTAAAAATATTCTATATTACACAAAATTCAAATGAAAATTGAGAGAATTTCAATACAAGTAAGAATAAAATTAAAATTACATTTCTTAACACCAAATAAAATTTTGAGAAAGGTAAAATGCTAAACATTATCATAAACAATAAGTCAAAATAATGTACCCGGTGTTTTTTTTTTAACTATTGAAATATACAACTTTAAAAATATATATTTAGCCCTTCAACCTTATTAAATTAAGGCCAGTTCTACACATTTTATCATTCCCAACTTGTAGAATGCCAGCTATCAAACAATTAATGAAATCCATACTGTACTATTATTCTTATGAGATGAGCACATCCACACTAAGCATAAACTGATGGAATACATATTCATGGGTAAGAAGGGCTCTGGAGACACACACACACACACATCGGGTTTCAATTTGGATGCACCTCCAAAACACCAAAAGGATTAGGAATCGGCCAAATATTAATACAGCAACACCTTCGTTTTTTAATTTAATCCGTTCCCAGAGACAGTTCAAAAAACCAAAACGAATTTTCCCGTAAAAATAAAGTAAATTGAATTACTAATTCATTCCACACCCCCAAAAATATCAACTTAAAAATACATTTTATACATACTACTACTTATAGTTTGTACTACAGTATGTACAAATATATCTTACCTTTATTGAGGACTCTTGTTGGCGTATGGAAAATAGTGAGGATGGGGAGGAGGAGAGGTGTTGGTGTTTGGAAGGAGTCCCCTTCCATTAGTGATATTATCCAGTAGTGATATTTCTGGGGTACCAGGCATACCAATAGGACCTGGTTGTGGCTCACTGCTTGCTTGTCTTACTAAGAATCTGTCTACAGACACTTCTTTTTCCCTACTTTTAACACTTGTCTGTAGTGAGACATCACATTGTCTCACTATGAATGATCTGTTTTTCCACTATCATCACCCTCACAACAATTTTCTTAGGTTGAACTTTACCACTAAGTTTCTTGGAACCCATGGGGTGATATATAATAAGAACTTTTATGTTCAGAAACAAAAAGAAAAAGCACTAAAACAATGAAATTCCCAACAAAGAATTTAGCCCCGAGTGGTCGTCACAAGGCGGGAGACACTGGTAAACTGAAGTGCGCTATGTGCTCGGTCGGCCCATACGTGTAATGACAAACTCAAGCACCACGGCAAACCTCAAATACCAAGTCACATTTTTTCAAAGAAATTGGGCTCGAGACCAAAAAAATTTGAAAAGGGGGACATTCGTAAACCGAGGTTCCACTGTAGTTGGAAGAAATTATATAATAATTTTACATAGCATAGTGGTGATATCCAATGTTATCTCAAGTGATTGCAATTTTAGTAGATAAAAGCAATCCCTCCAACTAGAGTCTACTGGGCTCTACTGAAGTGAGCTTTACTACCTGGTTTGAGAAACCAAACGGCAAGGTCTATACAAGCAACAGTTTGCAATCACAAAGTTATTAAAAAATTAACAGTAAACCCTCATTTTATCCATTTTCCACAATATTTTGAAGAAACACTTCTCTGCTACTATGGCAAGTGATAATTTCTGTTACATTAGTCCAAATGTAATTTTCATTACTTTTATTTTTTTAAATAATCAGATATAAATTGGCATGCTCGTATATACTTTCAATATAACCATACTGCTTTATGATATATCAAGGATTTTTTTTCCTTTCAATTCAAATGAGCCCTTAGACACAAATGTTCCCTAATACTGTTATTACTGCACCACTTGTAATTCCATATTTGTCCCTTGTTTCATTACCATATGCTTCATATGCTTCTTGCCTCATCACCAAATTGTTGGCTTATTCAGAATGACTATCTTGAATAAATTGATGGTACTTTAATCTCCTCCATGGTTTTCCACAACCAATTTTCATAAAATAGCTTAGTGAATATCGATTTCCAAACAAATATAAGTTATTTATGTTTCTGATACCGTAAACCTTCCAAGACAATTTGCAAAACTTTCTAGGTGGCAACATGAATAATTTCTAATCTAATCTCTGAACATGTCCACACCTTATTGTTTATATAAATAAATAAATAAATAAATAAATAAATAAATAAATAAATAAATAAAAGGAAGCAGCAATTTACACAGTAAAGGATGATTTCCACATCCTGCTTTAAACACCAGTTGCAACTTGCTTCTAATTTATAAAAAAAAAAGCAGAAAGATTATAGGCCGTTATACTTAAGCATGACAAAGAAAATATAAAGGCAGACAAGGTTGAAGTAGAGAAAGCAAAACAATATACTGTATATGCAAACATCAGCTGCGGGAAAACAATGTAAAGACTGCAAAGCAATGCAGCTAACTAAACATGGCCGCTGTGAGAACGAGAAGAACCGGCACTGGGAGAGAAAGCCATCTTATATTTAATACTGTACTATGAAATATTTCCATGGCAAGGCCAATAACTATTGTACAATACATGTATTCACATTTACATCTGGACACAATCACTCTCACATGTGTATGCAGCCACATGCACACATACAGTACTGTACTATTAACTAGTAGGAAGGCCTTAGAACTGGAACCAACTCCCACAAATACGCAGGCAAGATCACACACACACACACACACACACACACACACACACGTTACACCCCACCACAGTACAGTAATATTTTATAATCAAATTTTATTTACTTTCTGTTTGATGTCCTTCATACTATACTGTATACTATAGTACGGCAATATGGCTTCTTTACGCTAGTATAAGTTGCCTACAAACCACATTTAAATGCTATGTTTTTTACTTCATTGGTTCCAGTATTTTTGGGGCATAGTCATTTATATTGAACCCTATAAAAAAATTAAAACTAGTACTTTTTAGCCATCCAGTTATGTTTAATAGGCTAAAACCTTGAAAACAAATCAAAGGGTATGAAAAAAAAAAATATGCATGCTTCCTATTACTAACAAACACATAATATATCTTAATAAACATTTAAATTATTTAAAAGGGAATCACTAACATGCTTATCTGTTGTGCCAGAAAATCTGAAGTAACAGGCAATGATGAATGAGCATTTTTAACCACTGTTAATTCAAATACAAGATCCTTCAAATTATAATGATCCCCCATTGATAACTTATTTTAGTCATTCACCTAATACCAGATTTCATTATCATAATTACTGGGAAAAACCGGCTAGATTATTTTATGAAAAAGCAAAGAAGCTGCATTTTTAATTCCAATATATAACATATTTAAGATCGACAACCATTAACACTAATAATATACTGTACAGTACAAGTGGGAACACAAGTTTTCAGAGCTAATACTGTTTGACAGTCTATGGGGACCTATGACATTTTATATTATTAGCAACGTCCATTAATATTACCAAATATTAACATACGGCAATGATAAATATTGAACTACATACAAGCATATTCTAGCATGCTCCTGAACTACATGACTACTAACTACATAGTTAAAAATGTAACGTTTCACTGGGCTAATGTCAACTTTGTGTCTGCTCTAAGCATGTAATGGAAATGTTGTTCTATTCCTATTTATTGCAATCTTCTATATCTATTACTGATGTTATCCCCCACATCAACAATAAGGTGACACGTGCAAAATCTTTTTGAAATTTGGGGAACAACAGGAGCCCAACTTACCCTCTTCCTAGTGCTGGACATCATGGTGGTGGTCCTGGTCCTCGGGTCCTTGCAGCACACTCAGCCGGCCGGATCCCTTAAAGGACCTGAAATAATTACATCAAATAAAGGAAACCACAAAAGGCATATTAGTCCATGCAAGATAGCTCCTAATTATACCCAATGAAACTCAGGAGTTTCCAAGCTCATATATATACTATACATGAAACAATCTAACAGTTTTTTCATGTATCAGCAGCCCTATTACTAAACCAATTTTTATCCAGGAATTTTCAAAATTTAAACTGAACCCATTAATATCCATTGATTCATATTCTATTTTGTGTTGACACATCATCCTTATTAATATCTACTTTGTTATACCCTTTCATTGAGTAGGCTCTAAGACCTGAGCAAATTCTTAGACCCTAGATTGCAAATTCAAAGACCCTATGATATAGCTACTCTAATTAAACCCAGCCTAACCAAAACAAGACAAAATGTTGTGTCTTTTATATACTATCCACAGGGTGTCTGACATCACTATGATATAATTTTATCCCAGCACTGCTCTCATCCTTTTGTATACTTCAATTACATCGCCCGTTTATTTACATTCTGTAATAAAACAAAAAAGTGAGCTTTTTAAATCATTACAATTCCCTCATTTGTAATAAATTACTAATACAGTATTTCACCTAACACATGTAAACTTCAGTGGAATAGAACAGAAGAGTCTGTAAATATTCCACAGTGGACCAGACCACCTGGTAGTGTAGACAGAACCAGAACCAAGCTGTCTTGGTTCTTGGTCCTACCGCTTCCACTACACATAAGGGGCATAACTGGCCGACCCTTCATAGTGTTCAAGAGAGAACTGGATAAGCACCTCCAAAGGATACCTGATCAACCAGGCTGTGACTCATACGTCAGGCTGCGAGCAGCCGCGTCCAACAGCCTGGTTGATCAGTCCGGCAACCAGGAGGCCTGGTCGACGACCGGGCCGCGGGGACGCTAAGCCCCGGAAGCACCTCAAGGTAAGGTAACCTCAAGGTAGGTCTTCAAGAAAAACCCAACTCCGCTGACAAATAACTATACCGTATTTTTTTCTATTTTCCTGTCTTTAGTAATAAATATTACAAAAATTTTAAATAATTTTTTACTTATATATTTAACATAAAAAATTATGTTTGTTTAGGCTGTGTGACTGTGGTGGCAGTACTCCTACTGTAACTTGATGTACTTACCTAATTGCCTAATTTACCTAATTGTGCTTGCGGGGGTCGAGTTCTGGCTATTTGGTCCCACCTCTCGACTGTCAATCAAGTAATGCACAGGTTCCTGAGTCTACTGGGCTCTATCATATCTACACTTGTATATTTTATATAATAATAATTAATTATATTAATTATAATATATATTATATAATTATATATTAGGGGAAAAGATAAAGTGAGCATGCCTGAGGAGTGCCAAGTGAGAGATCTAGTGGCAATGTTCAAAGTGAAAAATGCTTTTTCAGAAATCATAGCATAAGACTACTTTTGATAGGGCTGCTTATAAATGGCATATGCAGCAGAGGGGAAATTTTGTATTATATACAGCACAGTTGTACTGTATACCTACATTCTGCTAGTCCAGATATACAAAAATTTCTCACTGCACCCTTACAGTAGGTTAAGCAAAGATATCAGTGTTGAATGTAATGAAACACCTTTTTCTGGTGGGGCCCTTGATGCTTGCTGCCTGACAATCTCCACCCAATTCAATCCAAGCCAGGCCCTTGCAAGACATGTTTAAGCCTACCAAGAGTCATAGGCCAAAACCTGGTCCCCTCTAAAGAGGCACAAGGAGCCGGGAATTGTCGATCACCCGAACTAATAAAAGGCCAGCAGAAAAGAGGAAGACTCAAAACAAACCATAGCAAGGTAAACCATGGAAACCCAAGAGTGGGGATTAACTCAACCATTCAAGCATCCAATCACTCCACAATGACAGAGCTGTGGAGTAGACTCCACCTTCGATGTCCAGGGTCCTGGACCCTGACACCAAAGGATGTCAAGAGTCATCTACAGGTAACTGTAGATGAGGACTACAACCACTGTGGGCCCAGGACACTACACAGAAGAATGCATTGTGAGACCATGAGTTGGCAAAATGGGCAAGATGTTCCCCCATGGCACTGTCAAGGGGGCAACTTGCTCCTAGAATACCCAATGAATAGGGAGCACTCGAGCAGAACCAAGATCCACATGCAAGACATAGACAGAAAAACATCTCTCCACAGGGAGGAATTTCAACCATAAAAACATTGAGAAATAGAAGCCAGCAGATACTTGTTAGAAAGCAGCAGCTCAACTACCTCTGCCATCAAAGTGGAAGGAGTGGTCCCCAAAAAGAACCCTCAAGCATACCTAAAGTATTACCACTCAAAGACATTTTAAAACTGGATGCAAAAGGGGAGGCACTTCCAGGCTTGCCTAACATCAGCAGCCGAGGAAGATGGAGAAGCAAACTTGGAGCATGAAGAAAACACTGCTTCAACATTAGGTCCAGAAAATACATAAGGGTAACCATCTCAATACTAAGCCATAATCTACGTATATGGACAAACCTACTTTAACCATAAAGCAGCAGCCACCTGATAAGCCAAGTCCTGTGAAGGAGGCTCAGCTAAAACAGACTCCCAATGATCACAAACATTGCAGTTGTCAGGGTGGAACATATTCCCCACCCAACAGGTGGCATGACAGAAGCTGTAAGAATGGCCATTGGAATACATAAAAACCGAGGCACATCCTGTGCCTCGGTTTTTTATGGAGCAGAATCGGAGGGCAGGGCCATAATAACCCTCTGAAAACTACAATGGGCTTGTTGGGTCCCAAAGGATAGACCAAGCACAGGTGTTGCTTGCCAAGAATAACAAAAGCCAAAAAACAGCCTAGAGAAAAATACAACTGTAAAGGGTGCGAGATGTGCACCGCAAAATGAGCATACAAATGGAGAAGTCAAAGACCATTGTAATGCCAAGAGCAATGTACTTTCCAGCATGAAGCTGGCTTCTCAGTCAGCCCCTCAAACCCACCTAGGAATGACTTTGGCCAGGCAAAAGCAACATCAGAAAACATAGAGACGATAACATTTGGTACATGCAGTCCAAGATGAAGTTAGCCTACAAAATAATGCATTACACCAGGCAATATGACCGAGGATTTAACATTGGTGATTCGAGGAGGATGGTATGCAGCCTCCTGAGTGTGCACAGGTGTAACTAAGGTGTAACTAATGTGAAAACTGCTTCACCACTGAGTGGTTCATGAATCACAGGATATCATTGTTCTGATTTCTATGGTTTGTTATCTTGTTGTAGTCTGTTTTGACTCGCACTTCTTTCTGATGACCTTGTCTTGGTTTGGATTATATAGCATCCCTTGCTCTTTGTGCCTCTTTGAAGGGTACCAGGTTTTGGCCTCTGGTCTCCTACAGAACTTTTATGGCTTCCCCTGGGAGCTTCCAGTCTGATCTGGGTCAACCCTATTAGTCATGAGCCAACAAGTCTTCTGACATGCCAGAAAGAGGCATTTCATGACATTTAACACAATTTTTTTAGAGGGCTTCCTTGATAGCTCCCTATAACTACCTTACCAGATAACACATGAGAAACAAGACTTATCAGAGGCACAGAAAAGCAGAAGCCAGGAATCCACAAAGAAATAAGAATCAATGCTGGATAATCTTTCCCAATGTCACACAAGCCCAGTGCAGACCAGGCAACATTAACCAGATATCATAGCACCAACACCCTGTTAGGATGCTACCCTTGAGCCTGAATATTAGCCCAAGACATGTTAGCAAAAACAGTGGACAAGCCACAAACTTTCGAACATCATGGGCCTGAGAGGTGAGAAAGAAATTAAAATGTGATGTGATGTAGAGTATAAAAGACAATCAACCAATATGATTAAAGAACACCAGATTGTTTTGAAATTATGAAAAATGGATGACTGAAGATTGAGTGTCCAATATTCAAGTAGATATTGAATATTGTATTTTTAAGAGAGGAAGGCAGGGATAAGGGTGGGCAGACACAGTGAAGATGTGAGGAGTGTGTGCAGATAACACAAAGGATATGGTAAGAGACAACGGTCAGCCAAGACCACGAATGGCAGTGAAAGTATTTTGTTTGTACTGTCTATGACCTGATCATATGTAGTGAGGGTGCCCTTGTAAATGACTGCTAAAGTGTGGAAGTGTTTATTATTATATAGAGTACGAGGCTTATAAATTACCTTCATTTCCAATGTTATGCATTTAATTTCTCAGGGCAGATGCCTATTTATAATATGAAAATTGGAAACCAGGGTAATTATTCATATGTATCAACTATACATAATTCAAGAGTTGGAAGCAAAACTTTCTGCCTTTAATATATCCATCATTATTAATATCAGTCAAAATAGTAATTAGAAAGCTCAGGTAGTACAGTATCAGAAATAATTGATAGAGCACTCGCTTGTCTTGATAGAACTAAAAAAAATGAAACAAAAGGATAAAAAAGTAAAATTAAACAAGTTCAATACTGTATATACATACTTGACAAATATGCTGTCAAGCTCTTCATATATAAGATAGCTCTTGAATAACGGGAGGTAGAAGTTATTCACACAGCCACTGTGGTCCAGTTGTATACGCTCGTATCCATCCTCACATTGTTCCAAATCTAATCCAACCTAAAAAAAAGGATATTAAGAGATAAAGTAGAGGGCAATGATATGATATGCAAAGTAGGGCAATTAGCCAATTCTCAGCTATTTAAAGCAATTTTTTCCCAATGGTATATTATTTAATAGCATTCTGGAAAACTTTATAGTATGAAATGAATAGATATCTATAACATTATACCACAAACCAGTATGCACATACAATAATTATGAAACATATTTATCAAAATATATTAGTGGCCAAAACTTTAGCTCAGTCCAAGAGACCAGCCAGTTATATCATTCCTTTCTAAAAAGAGTTTGACCAATACTGTATAACAAAAGTACTAAATATAATAAAAAAATCCCTCTTTTTTCTTTCTTTGCCTGGTGCCTTTGAACTCGCTAAATTATACTTGCCTAATGGGGCTTTTGAGGATTGAGCCTTACCTCATTGGTCCCACCTCTTAATATAATGAACCTTTATTTAATGAATAGCAAATGAATCACTTTGAAAAAAAAATTAGCATTAATGTATACCTTGCCCATTAAATTATCTTGGGTGGAAATCATTTTATACATTTTAATAAAACACAACATATGATCACCTCTGAGGTGTGGCTTGACCAGCTCACCGTAGTATGGGAAATTCAAGCACTTTAAATATTTTAACAAATTTTATCACTGCTCAAAAACTAACACATTCTCAATACTAAAACTACTACCAATTATAATAAAAAATGAATTTTTGTATCAACTAAAAAACATATTAATTTTATATTTCACTATTTAACATTTACCTTCAACTTCCTGATTTTTAGTCTCACACCTCTTACAGCGTTGTGTAAGCATCTTTATCACCTACCAACAATTCAATCTTATCTTACAAAGCACTATCATGCTGTCAGACAACCACCCAAATATTTTGTATAATTTTAGTATCATACAGCAGATATATACTGTACTACCTGTATAACTTGCTTCTCTCGACAAGCAAATGGCTATTTTGGCGTAGGCTCTTTTTTTTTTTATCCCATCATCATTTACAAGATGCCAAGTACAGTACCAATCTCTCTTTAGCTACATATCATTATACAGTATTTTGCAGTCTACTGGTAGTCATTTCTTAATAGGAAACAATTCATACCCATCACATTCCCAGAGCTTATTTCTACTTAACCATTCAAATCAACAATCACAGCTGTTTCATTACTTTTTTGGTATGACAATTCCATTGCTTATTGATATCACACCAATCTCGTTCTCTAAACTCTAAAAGATAATTTTCAATCTCATTGTGTATGTCATAACATAAAACTATATGCAACAGTACAATTAAAAAAACATGCTATTTAAAAAAAAGACACTCCTACTTTATGGTTTAACCTTGCTTTATTACATTATGCTTACTTACAGACTAACCAGTAGCGGATATATTGTTTAAAGCTGCAGGCAAGATATGGGAATAAAATCCTTTCCATCCAGAGTTTACCACAGAAACATCCCCATAGTTTGTAGCATTTACAGCATAGTCATGAATCTCGTATATTAAAGTTTTTATATCTATTACTGAAAAAAGCATAACCTGATTGTTAAGGAAGAGTGATTTTGAACCTAAGTAACCCTCCCCAAACCTAAGGATGTGTGTTTATTAAAAACAGAAGGGAAGCTACAGTGCAGCTGATTATGCACACGATGATATGGTTGACAGAACATCAAAGAACAGAATATCTTCTCTTCAATTCAACACATTTTCATGAGTTACATTTCAAAATAATAGTGACTTTTTACCATTAACACAACTAATGAAAAATTCATAACTGCAAACCCTCCCTATGGTAATATGGGAGATGGGAAGGTTTATAGACTTTCTCCTTATGGGGAAGATAATGTCCACAGTATTATGCCTTTGCAATTGCAACTTACCACAACAATACACATTAGTCAACATCTATCTTAAAATTTCAGTCCATGCATCCTGGCTACAAAATAAAATGTAAATGGAGAGGATATGTTTTTACTAGTTCATACCAAAAGAAGATAAAGGAATCTTGTCAAAGCTTTCAATGTACCATCAGTTACCACATCTCAATATTATACCTGTATAGGAATAATTTGGTTTTAAAACATATTCAAATGCCTGAATATAACAAAAATTATTCTATCGCAGCAAGTCTTCTGATAAATCTAGGCAAATGGCACTAGTTAAAAGTCTGTCCCATACTTTTTCACAACAAATATCAATAAGCAAAAAAAATTATTCAAGATGCAAATGTAACAATGGAAGATACATCTGTATACCATCACTAAAGTGTGCAACCCTTTATCAGCAATAATTAACCATTTGTATGAATAAGCCCCACCTAACCTATCCTAAGGACAGCAGACATATAGATACACGGACACTGCACTTCTTTGATAATGGTAATTCAAATAATTTAATTAATTTCAATCAATTTAATTATTAAAAATCATTGCATCATTCAAATTGTAATTACCCTCATATATAATAGTTGCACTGTATCTAAACAGCAGTGTCCCATGAGCCTGTATGCATTACTCATGAGTAATTACTCCAGTGCTGTACTCTCTACAATATGGTATTATAAATCCCCTTGTCAGGGACAGGAAACCTGACTACAGTATATGATTAATACTGGTGGGGACAGGCAGCCTATGTACATATACATGTTAGGTCCACCCCCCCCCCCCCCCACACACACACACACACACACACACAAGATCAAACTACTGACCCTGTCCAGAATACAACCCCACAGCAAGCTAACTCCTGGGTACCTATTTACTGCTAGGTGAACCGGAGCATTAGGCGATACATAAATCGTTAACCCTTTAAAGGTCAACGATTTTAACTTTTGGCTTGATATATACTTTAACGCATCAATTGAGGTTGAACTGCTGACCTTTTCCAGGAAGCATCACTACAACAGTTGCCCAACTCCTGGTTACCTATTTATCACTAAGTGAACAGAGACATGAGGTGAAAGGAAGCATGCCTGAACATGTCTGTCCCACCTGGGAACTGAGCCCCAGGATCACCAACTGAGAGTCGACAACAAAGCCAACTGTACTATGGCTATTACACTATAGGCTACACAAAAATGCAAATTACCTTTGAATAATACAATGAATGCTGAATTATTAATGTCAACACATTTCCAATATAAACACAAGACAATTACAAACGATTCAGTAAATTTAGAGTTCCTCTCAGTCCATTAAACCTTCAACAGCACAATCATTTACACAGCCAGATGTGTACAGACAGTAATAGTGTTTGGGCACGTAATCTCAAACCAACTTTACATCCGATACAAACAACAAAACCAAGTAGGCCTACCAGATACAAAAGTAGGCCTACCAAGAAACTGGAATATAGGAGTAGGGCCAAGGAGAGAGGTGAGGGTGGCATGAGCCAAGACACGAGATAAGGAGGTCAGGGAGTCCCATAGACCACTACCATACCTCCCAAGGTCCCACTTCCTCTTCAAAACAACGTCCCTGGAAAAATTTCCCCTTCACTCCAAACACCTCTTTTTCAGCGGCGTCACCACGGCCCAGAGACTACGCCAAACACGCCGGCATTATTTAAGGGCGTACGTGATCCACGGACCGGTCGAGTAGCGGAGAAATTTATCCCCAGCCACCCAGAGAGGCAGAATGTCAACAATTCATCCCCAGAGTGAGTGTAACGTTCACAGTGATAACAAACCCCTAACCTCCCTTACCGCTGCCCAACAACCCCACACACAACCACTACACTACACTACCAACAACCTCCCGTCACTATGTCACCTTTACGTAATATATCCGAGCCACGCCGACGCGTTTTCAGTCTTCAAACACAGAATCCGTGTTCAGCCCAGGGTCCTCCGGCCGCCATATTCCTCCACTGAATTGAAATCCAGGGAATGTAACGGCCCGCACGAGCATCCACCCGCGCCACGTTCAAATCCTCCGGCCGGCCACACTCCACTCCCACGGCTCTTTACTACTCTCTACCACCTCTACATGCTTGACAAATTACATCCTTAAGCTTAATTCAATATCTGTGCGGAGTTAGAGTGCGAAATAATGCGTGTATTAGACAAACCTTTTTTATTATATAACAAAGTAAGATTCAGTTTACAGTGCACGTGGTTGGGGTTTAAAACACTTATGTTTCATTTAAGCTCAACAATATATGTTCTATACTAATCAATAGTTTGTGTATTTATGTATAATAATACAAAAACTATCAATTACCGCTATCAAGGAATATTTAAAATGTACACTTAGGTATATGTGAATTATTATTTTACATTTTGGGAACAGCTATAGGCCAGCCTATATAGCTGTTATAGGCTTATCGAGGGTTTTCATGGCCAATAATTGCCCTTTTCCGGGATGCAGCCAACAATAGTTGACCAACTCCGGGTTACCTATTTACTGTTAGATGAGTAGATGCATCAGATGAAAGGAAACGTGCCCAAACGTCTCCATCCTCTCCAAAGGGGTAGAAATAGCCTTAGCTACTCTATCCCTTTCAGATGTATTTTTTCTTGTCTCGATAAATATACTTGAACTTTAACCTGGAATCACACTCAGGACCTTTAGATTGTGATATCAGACTGCGCTGACCGCTCTTTTCAGTCATAAATTGCAATATTCAGTATGTGAACCACATTTAAATTGCTCCTTGCATTCAGGTAATCAACAAAAATGAATTTGAATTAAAATAAATTTATTATTAAAATAATTATACTCATCTAATGTGCTTGCGGGGTTTGAGCTTCAGCCCTCTGATCCCGCTTCTCAACTGCCAGTCAACTTGTGTACAGGTTCTTTAGTCTATATTGGCTTCTATCATATCTACGGTTTAAATTGTGTATGGAGTCTTCCTCCACCATCTCATCTTTGAGTGCATACCATTTGTTTACTACCCTACAGTAGTACCATGACAAAAATTCTTTCTAAAGTTGCTGTGGCTCATTTGAGTAATCAATTTCAACCCGTGTCCACTTGTTCGAGCACCACCCGTACTAAATATCCTGATCTTAACTACCCTGTCATTTCCTGACAACTTTGCATGGGTAATCATATCTCCCCTAACTCTTCTATCTTCCAACGAAGTGAGGTATAAATCTTGTAGCCTTCCTCGTAACTCATGCCTCTCAGTTCTAGGACTAGTCTGATGTCATACCTCGATCTGAACTTGCTCTAATTTCGTCCTGTGTTAGACTAGACTTGCAAACTCCAAGACTGGTCTGGCATTCTACCATTTTCAAGACAAGACAGAGAACCCAGCATACTGTCTCAGCCATAAGAGCATAAGGAATATCCCAACTTTGATTGTGAATTATTGCATCCAAGTATGGAGACTTCATCTTCGGAAAGACATATCTACACTGAAACAAATTCAAAACGGCGACAACAATTATTTTGGAACTAAGTTGACTCTCATACCTAAAACAGGTCGAGTCATTTTTGCGTTTAATTTTTCTCATTTAACCAGCATAAAGAGCAAGAACAGAAATCATGTCCTTACAGTTGTCAATGAAATCCGAGTGTGTTTATCTTGTGACGGTAAAGCGTTGGTGTTCGGCTGTTTCAAAAGCTAGGGGCAGGGCCTCGTCACATTAGAGAAAAAAAAAAAAGAGAAAAGCTGGAACTTTCGTCTGTGGTAAGGTAATGGGAAGACACACAAAACAAGTAAATTAACAATGAAATTTTGATTACGTTAGAAAAACAAGACATGAATAAAATTAAGCACATAAAATATAAAAGACAAGTCAACAAACAAAATAATATGAATAATCACTGGCAAATGAAAAGTTACGTTAAGACAAGTGAGTTACAGTGATAGCAAAATAAATATGAATGGAGCTGGAATATTGGCTTCGAGCTGCCACCTCCCTTAGTACACGAAAGCCAAGGCTTAGTCTACCAGCGAGAGATGTCAACTGCATGGAGCACTGAGATATTCTGACGAGACTGGAGCACTACAGCCCAGACGTCGACTTGTGGTGGTGGCGGAGGGCAGGGGCGACGAGACACCAGCCAATCAGCGACAGGCAGGCAAAGGACAAGTAGTTTGCTGGTTTACGGTGGCGGTAGCTAGCAGGTGTCACTGTGTGCTGGGTACGATTTGCTCTCTGGGCAAAACGTTTGGCGATACTTGCTGGACGTATCTTCTATATTATCTTTTGTTTTTACGTACTTTGTAGGGAAGAGCAGGCTCAATCTCTCTTGAAAGAGATTATCGTCACAATCTAAAGTACGACCCGAAATAATTTTAGCCTTTTCCTTTGTTCAATTCAAGTTCAATCACTTAGCATTTCATCCACAGTAAGAAAATTCCCCTCTATGCCCTCAGCATTTATCAAACAAGCATAATCTAATCTCCCTCCCCTCAGATGAGTAGGAGAAGGCTTGCCCAGCAGTTGAACATCTTCATGTTCCTCCAAAAACTGGTACCATCTGCAACCATTCCTATTTGCTTAACCCCTTGATCCTAAAGCTGGATGTCTGGCATTAAAATCCCCTACCACAAGTGTATCTTCAGAAAAGAAGGAATCTGGCCTTGTGGAGATAAGGTTCAGGACAATATAGTGAACTCGGAGGTTGGTACTCAAATATTGGAATATCTAAAAAAAAACTAGACAAAATGATTGAAACATTAGAAAAATTAGCTATGCAGGGTAGACGGGGTGAAGATGGTGGTGAAACAGAACGTGAAATGGAAAGTGAAACAGGACGTGAAATGGAAAGTGAAACGTGCGTAGAAGAAAGTAAGGACGTATTGATGATAGAGGATAGTAAGGAAAATGAACTTTCTAGTAATGTTAGCTGTGTTCAACCTTCTGTAGTGACAAATGTTGAAATAAAGGTTAGAGTAAAACGGTATAGAGAAAATAGACATGAATAATATCACCTTTGATGTTAGTAGTGGTTGTGCAAGTGAAGAGAAAGCAAAAATGTTACAGTGTTGGGAGAAAGTGTCTAAGGTAATCTTGTATCTCATGGAATGTGACGGACAGGACAAAGGTAGTTTCATTATTAATCATGGATGAAAGTAAAGTGAAGATATTATCTTGGAGACAAGAAAATACATCTCAAAGGAATTATCATGAATTTGGAGGCAATATGTGACGGAATTCGTATGAAATACATTCTGATTCCTTAATAATAATTCTATTACATTATTATCTGTCCTTCGTAGCGAGCATGAGACTATAATGGCTTAGCTGGAAGTTATGAACAATTAAGGATATTAAACAATCGCTAACAATTAATGTATAAGTATTGAAGATATGTATACATCTGAGTGGAAGCTCTGTTATTTAGACGAACCCTGGAGCCCACGACAAGAGCCGGCACTCGGTCATCACAAGTGCACGTCCGGTAGCACCAGTAGCGAGGTGATGGGTTTAAGACCTGTTAACCGTGGGAGAGTTAATAAGACCTTCACAATAGCTTACTGACACGGGAGACATCTCGCGTCACACAGGGTGCAGTCTCACCTCCACAGATCTTTAGTATCAGCTAATGATACTGGTAATGGCTTAAAAGGGCCACCACTTACGGGCTATTCATGCCCGTGCCACCTTTTGGGTGGCTTAATGTTTATCAATCAATCAGAGGGAGAGGACCTCCACAGATCTCCAAAGGGCCACCATTTACGGGCTATTCATGCCCGTGCCACCTTTTGGGTGGCTTAATCTTCATCAATCAATCAATCAGCTTACTGACCAAACAGCAGGGTACCCACCCACTTGAACCACTGGGAACAGAACTCCTACTTTGCAAGAAGCGTCCAGGCTCTACACTGTACTGAACAGAATTTAATGACCATTATAGGAAAAGGTAAATATTTATATAGATATATACATTTCGATATATGATTAGCCTATGCGGGATGTGGTACGAGTTCCCAATCTCTAGCAAACTGAGTAAAAGCCTAATAACAAATAATGTACAATATGCAAATTTATAGCGGAAAGTCATTATCTGAATATTTTCACCTTTGTTTTCGAAAATGATACAACGAGTTTTACAAACATTATGTGTACATATAGGCCTATATTGTATTCATATTAGTACAGTTGATAGCTGCAAGTAGATCAATATGGATAACGTATATAATAATATGGGCGAAGTTATGAGCTTTCATATATGCACCTTAAATTCATTACAATTTCTTTCTTTATTATGCACCCCATACCCATCCCCTGGACGGTGGTGGAAAGGGTTACAGGCCACATAATTGGTTCAGGATCTGAACATCATAGTTCATTTAACTAAGCAAGTGACAATCTTTGACGCTAGTTACACAATTGTTAATGTTACATACACTTGTACTTATATATATAATCATTTACACAAATACATATACCTATCAATAATCATTTTATATCACAAGTTATTCAACGAGAGGTTCAAAAGTCACTATACACGACACTTTACATCTACGGTGAGTCACACAGGTAGGGGTGTGACTCACTCCATCCTAGGGGTCAGGTAGCTGAGTGGACAGCGCGCGGGACTCGTAATCCAATGGCCCAGGTTCGATTCCCGGCGCCGACAGAGACAAATGGGCAGTGTCTTTTACCCTGATGCCCCTGTTACCTAGCAGTAAATAGGTACCTGGAAGTTAGACAGCTGTTACAGGCTGCTTCCTAGGGGGGGGGGTGTGAAAAAATTAGTTAGTTAGTAGTTAGTAACACTTGATTGATTGGCAGTTGAGAGGCGGGCCGAATGAGTAGAGCTCAACCCCCGCAAGCACAACTAGGTGAATTCACAGTTACTAATCGTGCTCCACGCCCACCATACTGGGCGGCAGCTTTACAGTCATGTGCACTGAGCATAATTATACACCCCAGAGGAGTCACGACACACTTTCATATATACTAGTTGGAAAAATAATGAGGAACGGTATAGGAGCCTTTTACCTGAATTTACCTGAGGGCCACTAACACTAGTGGCCTTGGCGAGGACAGGAAGCCGATGGCTTGTCGAAGGTCGCCCCATTTTCCTTTATAATCTCTTAAAGTTGGACTTTAGAGTTTAACAAAGTTTTGACATTTTGGCAACTTTGACAAGTCGCCGGCTTTCTATCCCCGCAATTGAGGCCAATCAAGATATGGTGGCCCTTAGATAAATTCCGGTAAGTCACGGGTTACCTTGAGGAGGAGCTTCCGGGGTTGGCATCATTGTTTGGGTCCTGTAGTATAGTGATTCCGTGATTCATAATCGATGATGCCGGCTTCAGTCTCCGCCGAGACAAAAATGGTTGGGTACGTTTCCTCTCACCTGATGCCACTGTTTACTTCACAGTAAATAGGTACTTGGGAGCTAGGCAACTGTTCTTGTTTACTTCTTGGAAAAGGTCAGTAGTTCGAGCTACGGGGAAGACTTCAATATAAACTTATTAGTACAGATTTCATGTCCCTGACAACAAAAAGTATTATTACTCACTATAAATTAGTTGCCCTAAAATTAGCCTATCAAAGAAAACTGTGACGAAGAAGCACCAACAAAGCGACTAACTGACTCACCATAACAACAACAACAACACCAGCGCAAGACTGAGACATGCAGTCATCGGGAGAACAAACCCTTCATACAAACTGCACCTACTATCAAGAAGAAGAAGACTGAGACTCCTGGCTCATCCTTGGCACCTGCTCCTCCTGGCAACCATCGGCCTGCGTTACGCGATTATTGCATTGCCCTCTGCCATTCCTCTTCAACAAGCTGCTATATACGATACCTATCTCCCTTATCACCGGGTCGCAGGAAACGTTATAGTTTTATTTTTTTGCGGCTGGCTCCTCGTCATTAGTTTGTCCGGGAGGTGTTGGTAGTTGGAGGGTTTTGATGGCCTTCTGTTAAGGCCCTGTGCTATAGCTGTCCTTAACCCAATAATAACAACAACACAGCGAGCCATCATGTTGCAGAGCAGAGGCCTGACTAGGTTACACAGGTTGACATTGCAAGGTGAGTAATTGCAGCTGAGCCTAATTAGATTAGGGTGCAAAAGCAGACTGGCTGAATTTCAGTGATGCACAGGTGTAAAAGGGAAACCAGTTTCGGGGACAGGAAGCCTGTCAGGTGGATATAGGTCACTTGGCACTTAAAGTCTACCGAATATAGCCTAATCTAATCTACCTAACTGCCCTAACAATATATATACAATTTAAAAAATTAGAAAAATGAACAATGTAGGAAAGACTTTTATTTGATCGTACCTCTGTTGAGCTTACTGGGGTTCCTCTTGTCAAGTGCAAAATTGTTACTGTCCTCAATAGTGCTTAACTGACTGAATCAGTTACTTGGGTGCCAGTTTATAAGTTTATAAGAAAAACATACAATATATAGTTGTATGTAAATACTATACTGTATATATATGTATTTTTTTATTTTGTATGAGTAAAAACTAAATATGCATTTTTGTATAAATACCAAGCTTTCTTATTTCTTCTTTCAGGACTCCAAACTTGTAATTTAAGTTCCACATACTGCAGTGTTGCAGATGATGGGCATTATGCATCACGTACTTTCACTACACAACATGAAGAAAAACAAATGAAGACCTCATCTGGAGCCAATGGTGACTATAGCAGTCGTGTAAATAAACTAGAAAATTCATCAACTGCAGTAAGAAAGATACGCGTTAAACTTCTGTCTGATCCCACTTTGGATTCCAAGAAAAGTTCCTCTGATGGGCATCATACTATCGAAGAGGAACAATCATCACCCTCCACAGTATTATACAAAAATCATATCCCAACAAACATCTTTCAAAAGGCTGTCTTGTCTGTAGGAGCAGCTGGTGCAGCTCTCCTGGACCCCTGGCGTCATGACATGGTAGCAGTCCTTGGAGAGACAACAGGTTACAGAGCTCTCTCTGCACTCTATACAGAGATGGCTCATGATGATGAGGGACAGCAGATACTAATAGATAAACCAAGGATCAGTAGTACTACAGTTGATCTTAAATACTTATCACAGCTGCCTGAAGAAACTTTAGGTCACTTCTATATAAAATTTCTAAATGTTAATAATGTGACTCCAGATTCTAGAATGCCTGTTCAATTTGTGGATAATCCTGAATTGGCATATGTAATGCAGCGTTATCGTGAGGCTCACGACCTCTTTCACACTGTTTTGGGAATGCCTACAAATATGCTAGGGGAAGTAGCTGTCAAATGGGTTGAGGCACTCCAAACAGAATTACCAATGTGTTATGGAGCTGCACTTTTTGGTCCATTGCGGTTTAAGCCAAAACAGCGGCAAAAGTATTTACAAACCTACCTACCTTGGGCCTTGCGGGTTGGTGCATCCTCAAAACTATTAATGAATATATATTTTGAAAAGAGATGGGAGCAGTCCATGTCTGAGCTTAGAGATGAATTGAATATAGAGGCATTTAAATTTTAGTGTCACTCTTAACTGGAGAATCTGAAAGGTTTTGTTATGTATTGAATTGTTTTCATGTACAGTATTGAATCTACAGAAATATATAGAATTTAATTTAATGTGTATTTGTTTTCTAACATAACTTTTGGCATTTGGCAATACGTATGTACAGCAACTCTAAAAGGTTAAAAGGATGCCTCTTTGTGTATTAACTGATGTGGCTGTTGCTGGTCAGTATTTCCAGTACAAGATACTGTATATATTGCAACCCGTTCTCGCACTTATGTATAGTCAATATTGACTTATTAAGTACGTGCATATGTGACATACTAAACATACTAGTTTACCTTGAAAAGCTTCATAGAAAACACCGACCTTACCTAACCTTCTTAGTATGTTAAGATAAGAATCTTATTGCTTCGTAATTACAATTATTACTTAACCTATTATAGGTATAGGTTATTAAAATTATTACTTAACCTATTATAGGTATTACTTAACCT